CCCCAGGTGTGACGTGCTTTGACAATTTTCTGGTCGTCTGGGCCGGGTGACAAAGAGGACAGGCTGGCCATGACGGCGGTTTTAAAATCTGCGAGTGGGGAGCCGTGGCGGGATCCGACATTTACTCGCCGAGAAGATGGCTGCAGGCGTGAAAATCTTGCGTTCGCCTGTTAGTGTCAGACTGTCGACTTAACATGACGATATTGCGACATTCAAGTAATCCGAACACCGTTTCAGCAGGGGAGCAGTCGGGCGCGGTCATCGTCCAGTGAGGTGTGGCGCTAAGTGCGGGCCCCTGGGCTGTTACCGATGGTATAGTGTCCTCGTGCGTAGTTGTTCGCGGCATCCTCCTTGCCCGTCTGAAGTTGCGACGGATGGAACAGCTGGCGGTATGTTCCAGTGCGCACCTCGTCTGAAAGTGACGTAAGATGATGACCGAAAACGCTATATTACACTCAGGTCTGGCATGCCATGCATTTACATACCAGTAAGATGGTGACCGGAAACGCTATATCACTCTCAGGTCTGGCATGTCAGGCACTTACATACCAGAAAGACGTCTTGGGCGCCGGCTGACGAGTGAGGAGATAGTGTATGTGAGAACGGTTAGTTGTTCTCAGGTAAATTATGTTTGCCAAAGACTAGGTTCCAAGTGCCAGGCACGTTTATCAACCGATAGCAATGAATTTGATCAATCCATTGGAAAGTCTACCTTTCATAATTTACTAGGTGACTGTACACTAATGTAGCACTCGCACGAGCTGTCGAAAATCGTGTTCCCTGAAATAATGCCAGGCACCTGGGAGGGCCGTGCAGTTTTAATCTGCCACGTCGACCAGTTATCAATAGTTTACAAGTTTCGGAACTATGAGCAGAGCATCCAGACAAAATGTATTTTTTGGGTGATCATTTGTCACAATTAGGACCAAATATCGCCGTAGTTTTCATGGCGCAGCCTCTCTCGGTTTAAGCAATAACAGGTCATATTTGGGAGCGGTTTCAGAAAAGTGACCTTGGATACTTTTCCGTCGATAATTTAAACACCTACGGGCCGAACGATTTTAGAGCGTTGTAGCCGCCTGCAAAGTGCAGTAGGCTTCACGCCTTCACCTGTTCTAGCTGCTGAGACCTGAACTCAGCCCTCAAAAACGTCCCAACACGGAGGGATCCGCTGTGTACGTCAAAAGCACGCGAACGCACACTGTGCGTGCACGCACACGCACGCTCGCACGCTCACACACACACACACACATACACACACACACACACACACACACACACACACACACACACACACACACACACACACACACACACACACACACACACACACACCACACACACACACACACACACACCACACACACCACACACACACACACACACAACACACACACACACCACACACCACCACACACACACACACACACACACACAACACACCCACACACCACACACACACACACACACACACACACACACACACACACACACATCACTCCGCACTTTTGTCAACACTTCTGTTTGTCTTATCTTCCGTCCTTTTGAAATATTGTTGTTGCCCCATCCCTAGGTGTTTTTGGGTTAGTAGAGGACAAATACGCACAAGCTGTTACTGCACACGACAGATGTTTCATTTTTTTCGGCACAGTCGAGTGACAGTCTTGACCGTGCGCTTGCTGTCAGGGTGTTTACCGCGGCGCTCATGTATGCGGTGGACCTGTCCCGATTTCCCGGGGTCCGGTGGCCGAAGGGCTGAAGCCTGGGTACTCTGCCGCGGACATCGCAAACATTCACTTTTTCCAACCGGGCAGGTAACATGGATAATCCTGGAATTTGGTGCGCTGCGGGCATATCTGCCCCGCACCGGAAGGTGTGATATCGCTATCGGTTATTGCGGAAAAACATACGGAGGTGATCGGTCATGAAGCGACTGATAGACCGGTTCCTGGTAACAAACCGTCAAGAGCAATCTCAGGCTACGGGCCTCCTCTCAGTGACGAGCTGGTCGCGAATGTGCGTGATGTTTGTTGCACCACATGTGAAGGGCAGGAAGCATGTCTCACAGGCAGTAGTAGCGAAATCCTTTAACATCTCCATCAGTGCTGCGTGACGATGCTTTACAAACGATTGGCGTGATGTCACTATCGCTTTCACGCTGGCGCGCCCTCGACTACCAAAGCACATGGCTGACATGTTAAGCTTCTGCGAGTAAGCTTCTGCTGGTGCATTCGGCCGAACCTCAGGCAGTTCAAGAACCAGCGTTGTGGGTTTTCGAACAGTCTGATGGTTTGAGGAGATCGTGATTTGGAGTGCTAAGAAAATCATGTTAAATAAAAAGTCCAGATGATCAAATGATCAATTTTGGATGCCATAAGATCCTGTTAGGGCACCAGCTACAGCTCGACAACATCGCTTTCAGTACGACGGGCCAACTGTGCGTACGACGCTCACCACCCCTCTCATGACCGGACAGCAGATTCGTCCTCTGAGGCCGTGCAGGCACCGGCGAGCCCAGTCGACGGCGACCAGAGCAGCCAAGGGGAACCGTGGACGAGCACGCCGCGGCGGTAGACCGGAGCAAAGCTGATCGCGCCGTCCCCGGCCCCCCCCCCCCCCCCCGTCCCCGCTGCGGCGCAGACGTGCGTGCTGGCGTACGGCACTGCTGTGGAAACAGTGTGAGCGCCGGCCGAGATTGACTTTGGTTTTCTGTTAATAAATCGAAAATGATATTGCAAAGTACTTCTCCTACCGCTTTCAAAATAGACAGTTCCAGTGAACATTATTGCGCGGCCGTGGAGTCCAGATCAACCGCCACCCAGACCTGGACTGCTGCTCTGAGCTCTAGGTCAGCTACCACCCAGGCCTGACCTACGACCATGGGCTCCAGGTCATCCAGCACCCAGGTCTGACCTACGACCGTCGCCTCCAGGTCAGCCAGTACCCAGACCTGACCTAAGATCATGGGCTCCGGGTTAGCCCCCACCCAGGCCTGACCTACGACCGTCGGCTCCAGGTCGACGAAGATGGCTCGCGGCACGTGCTTGCCGGTGCCCGTCTCCGCGAAGAAGGTGTTAAAGCTGTCGTCAGCCTTGTCGGGCGTGGTGTCGGAGGGCATCTGGCCGTCAGGCGTGATGCCGTGCTCGAGACAGTAGAGCTCCCAGCAGGCGTTGCCCATCTGCACGCCCGCCTGGCCGATTGTGAATGCTGATCACCTCACGCTGTCGGAGAGAGTGGGGCCAGTCAGGGCGCGGCCCGACCACACCACCGCCGCGTGTTGTTTCCCGTCGAGCAGCTGCCTCAGGTAAGGACCGTCACACCGAAGGTCTGCATCAAATGGCACTATCATCCGGTGTGTTTCGTTTGGGTGTCGCTGCTTAGCGTTTTTGGATTCCCTGCGTCTGTACCCTATTGCGCAGGCATCGCAAGAGAGTTTTCGGAAAACAAAAAGGTGTGTTGATAACTAAAAGGGTTGTTTCTCCGATGTGTCCACGCAAACACATTCGAGGGACCCGGCCCACAGAGCCGGGGCCTAGAAAGTCGGCTAGGGGACCTCTTGCACCGATCTAGGATAATAAGAGCCCTATGTCGGCCAAAGGTCACCAATGCCGAACCAGTCGGCCCCGTGTCGGTCTTGGGTCGGCCCTGTGTCGGCCATGTGTCGGCCCAGTGTCGGCTCTGTGTCGGCCCTGTGTCGGTCTTGGGTCGGCCCTGTGTCGGCCGTGTGTCGGCTCTGTGTCGGTCCTGGGTCGGTCTTGAGTTCATTTTTCCAACAGGGACAGGGCGGACACGCGAATCTCAGTCCTATGATTTATTGTGTTGATCAGACCCCGAGACAACGGACTCCTGTGTCGGTCAAGGGGCACGTAGTACCTAACGGGGAAACCTGTTTCGGCCAGGGGCCCCGAGTCGGCGAAGACCCATTCGCCGAACAGAAACACGGACGGGACCTCGAATGTAAAATGGTTTCTCACGTTGATCAGAGCCATCCGACATTGGGAAAATGTATTGTGCTATCTGATACGAAAGCGTTCACAGTGAGACCATGAAAAAACCTACGGCAGTCAGGGGATACAATACCGAGCCCAGGTCCTGCGCCCCGTTATGACGAAAGGCTCGATGAGCCGAACTGGGTCCCGGTTCCATGATTGACCCCCGTGCCGGCAAGGGACGCCTTTGTGTCCGTGGTGGATGACGTGCCCCTCTGAGGCTCTCCGATCGACCAGGGAGCCGACCGGTGGCAATCCGTGGGTACAGCCCATACATCTGTCGGCGTGACTGGGTCAAAGAACAACGAAAACTGAGACCTATCTGGTAAAATGGCCAAATCAGTGAGTGAGTCTCCTTAAAGGGAGCTTTCATTTCAAGTTTTCACTTCATTTTCATCATCACATCAAGATTTTCATCAAGGTCTTTGTCCCACCTCCCCTACCAAGATTCTGGCCGCGCTCCCGTGGACGCGTTACATACCAGTGCATCTGCAAAGCTCCTGTAACTAACCCCGCGATTTTCTTACTTTCATTTGCACCATGAAAACATCGGTAGAGTAGATCTGACCGATTCACCGTAATCACTTCGGTGAACAGACGGACATATCACTGGAAGTGCAAACACCGTACGCATGCGTGCACTTCGCTGTTGTTGCACTATTTCAGTGGTCCAATCTCAGCACTTGAGCTCACCATAGCTGTAGGCTGCTACGTCACTCCTGTCAGCTGACGTGGTCAGGTCAGAGGCAAACTCGCGTTGGGCCGATAAGGTGGTCCACCCGAGCACTCAACCGCTTCTGTGCGCTCGGAACCTGTCATTCATAGTCTAGTCATCCTCTACAGTCTCTGACACACGCTCCGGACCCGAGGTGTAGTCACATGCAATGACGAGGACCGGTGAATGGTATGGAAGTCAATGCCAGAGGACGTAGAGGCGGGCCAAATGTGTTGTGGCATGCCGTTGCCAAGGGGTTTGCTCAGTGATGGATAATCAATTCTTGCCATGTGGCGTTTGTCTTGATTTACCATGCAGATGATCGTGGCCTGTGCGGTCCAGTCACACCAAACAGCCAGGGGAATGCTGACAGCGTTGCTTCCCACGCTCCCCGGCGCCATAGTGACCAGTAGGTACACAATTTACCTGGGGCATGAGGTTCGGGGAGACCGATATGTCCCGATGTTAGGCAGTGATCGATCGCAAGGCAGCCAATTCCACCAACTGTGGCGGCAGGCTGATGGATGGCCTCGTCGATCCCGGCCCACTGCAAAGGCCCTCCTGAAGGTCACAGATAATCATTCTCCGTTACTCTGCGCTAACAAACTCGCCGTTGATTTATATTTTTCCCGGGAATGGCATGATTCTCATTTCCACTTGGGTGCTGAAGAGCGCTGCGGTTATTCATTGCTACCATGAAAAGCCTGCACCTTATCCAATGTGCTGAGTGTAGCCTCGCTGTAGCACTGAAGGCCCATTTAGTAAGGACGTCATATGGGAAAGTCGGGCACAGATAAATTGTGCAGTTGACGTGCCCAATTACTATAGTGACGTGCGGCCTCTTGGCTTAGGAGCTAACCTCCAGGCTAGATTTCTTGTCTTCAATTCCCGCCTCAGAAAATCTTGACCTGCTGAACTTCAACCGGTCTGCGGCAAAATTAATGACCTTGCTGTTATGCGTGCCGATAAGCCACCTGATTATCTTTGGAGTCCACTGACCGATTATGGGCGAGCAGGATTACAATCATGCCATCACATTAACTTGAGTGCTTGCAACATCTATGTTATCTTATGATATAACGTTTAAAGGCTAAGACTACCGATGATTATAGTCGATGTACTACAATACTTCCAAGACGGCGTTACCAAAAATCTAAATAAATCAAGTGGCCAACGATTTTACGATCAATTAAACACTTCCTGCTATGACTTATTACTCACGGCAAGGGCAGGATAGCAGTGAATGCCTCGCCATGACCCATAACACTGGCAATCAAAAACTTCCACATTAGATGACTGGAAGGTAGGAATAAGCAGGTGAGCAGCCAAGGTTTTGTGGAGTGAGTGTGAGGCGGATTCCAGTACTGTTGCCGTGCTTATGTCGCGAACAAAAAGCACATCCGTAGAACAAAACGCCCATGAAAGACCCTCGAATACAGAAGCGTTGTGCCTCTGCCAGTAAGAAAACCAAAAGCAAATGAATGGTAGACTTGAAGGAAATATTTTAGTCTAGCGGTACAGTATATATTAAGGCGCATCACTACTCACGCCATCTATCGACAGGGAATAAAACGAGAGCTTAAGCCTCCACCCCCTTTCTTTTGCGTTTCCCAAACCGCCTGTACTTTACCAACTACATCAAATCTATTCCGATTCTTCCTTTATCCCTGCCTCATCGTTCACCGAAATCCAGAGTCTTTCCTTGCATTTTGTGGCTGTTGATGTCCAGATGTAAAAGACACTTCCAAAAGAAAGGAGACATGTAAGGCTGCCCCGAATATTCTAAAGTAGCCGGAATTGCCCGCCTATGTGCAGACTCGTGTCCGCTAGTGCCTCCCGCTGCGAGAAGTTGGGTAGCACCACAGTTACAAACGCGTCTGAAAGCAGGCATAAGTGGATCGATTCCCTGCGGCGCCCGCTCTTCCTGACTCGGTGAGAGGCCTGTAATGCTGTGCCGGCGACCTCACCTGCTGGGGTACGTTGCAGCCCCAGCGGCAGCAATATATCGCCATGCCGTCGGCTAGTGATTCGTTTATCAGTCCGCAATATCTCGCTTTGCTCCGCGCTTCTATCCTGCTGCGCAGTGATGATTCATTTCATTTAGAAAACTATCAGTTTTGGTCACCCTGCAAACGACGCAAATGCCTTTTCTGCTATCTTGTTATCGTTTTATTACGGCAAAGTACGTCGCCCACAAATCTTAAACATCACATATAGTTCAATCTTCGCCTTTTGGCTTTTAGCGTTACCCCCAATCCACCATATCCATTGAAGCCCCTCCAAGACAGCTTCGATTTATCAGATTGTAATGTCAATCAAAATGAGACCACCTAATTTGAGTGCTGTAAGGTTTATTTAAGGAGAGTCTACAGTTTGCCCTTTTTCGTCGAATTTAAAAACAGTCTTGTGATTCGGGGTTCTTGCTACTGGTCCGTTAGCAGATGAAAAATGATCTTAAGTTTATCGAGTCCTTAGCACGCTGCTGCCGGGCGGAAATCACTATGAATCTTGACGAAACTTGTCTGCAGTTTCAACAGATGCAACTCTTAATTTCAAAATATCTATATTCTTTAAAAAAAATTGCGTGTGTTGACCATGTATCACAGAATATCGTAATACGCAGAAGCATGGAACAGTATTATGTACCTAAAACACCATAGACCACACTGAGGGAAGAACGCCGCAGATATACGACAAAACTGCGTCGCTATGAGATGAAACATACTAAAATCCTGCTCTTGATTTCACTGCGTAACGAGTCGCAGCATAGTATCAGGTGCTTTCCTGACTCATTTTGTAACATTCCTTTCTGTTCAGAGTTTCCTCCATGTGCCGTAGGCTTTTAGTGTTTTCTGTTCGTCACGGCACACGGTATCGTTCACATCAGCACAAACACCCGCATTGCACCTGTGCCCTGCGCTGCCCGCACACCACGCACACAGAATCAGAGTGCGCCGCTGTTTAAGGGTCCCGCACGATGCGCTCACGCGTGCCATCGCCTCTTCCACACGAAACGCTACTTGCAGTGCCGTCCTGTCGCAGGCGTCGTAATTGGTTTCACCATGTGGACACTGGAATGTCACCATTTTTCACCAGGTTTGTCAGCAAATTCGAGTAACCTCAATAATTAAAGTGCTCATACAGGTTTTGAAATGAAGCATCGTGCCATCGGAGCAATTTTAGAGCATGTTGGAAGGGGTATAGAAGTCAAATGAGGATGAGGTTGTTCTAGACATCCCACGCGTAAAGAAATTGGTTTAGAGATAAGGGACTGACACCGATCGTGGCACAACTGGTCTTCCGTAAATGGGTGTCGCCGTGTTTTCTTTGCGCGTTGCGGCTTGTACTTGACTCGCGCATCGCACACAAGTACCTCAAGGAAAATTTAATCCTATGCCATCGCAATCAGTACATCAAGTTGGCTCTGCACGTCTCCTATTAGTATATAAATCAGGCAAATTCAGATACACGAAATATATAATGGTATACGACATACGAAATGCAATACACAGTTTCTGAATAAAGTATCGTTTTTTGCTGAAACGTATTCAGGTTCTTTCCAAACCACCAAAATGTGCACTACACAAGCATTTCAAGCTACCTGCCAACCAAGTAGTGGATTTATGAAATCGCGCCTGGCTAAAACGTTGCCCTATATATTGCCTAAAAGAAGCCGGGGAATGATGTTCCAAAGCACAGCCTTCAATCCCAAGAAATCCACACGAATTGAATGCTGTGAATTTTTCTCTTTGTTTTGGGCTATAGTGTATTATGATACAGCGGTGCAATAGTAGGGCTACCACCATGTAGTACCAACGTAGTGAAATGGAAATTCAGGCCCCAAAGAGTAGCTCCCCACCCGACAAATCTAAACTAAATTTTGTCAAATTTCCAGTTAATTTCGGCTGCAGTGCTCCTGACTAAAAAGTTACGGCATCAACAACATGTAGTTCC